CCATAAACACTTTTTTTTAGCTCCTTAAGTGTGATCTATCAATGATTCACACCGTTCTTAAGGATAAAATTAGCCCCAGAGCAATTTCTGGAGTATCAAAAGCCTGACAGGTATTACCTTACTAGGGTATTATGGTAAGAGGTATCGAGGCTAAGCAAACTCTCTTTAAGCTGGCAAATTTGTCAGCAAAGCCAAGGCAAAACATTCTTTGGTCTCATAGTGTAATAGACGTATGATCAACCTTGTCTGTTAAAGGTTTAAATCTGAAATTTGTTATTTATATATATTATATATATATATACTATATAAGATATTATATATATATATATATATATATATATATATATATATGTATGATTTCCTGTCAACATTATATGTGTCTGTCTGCGTGGGAGCTATCCTGGCGCATTCGGGTCAACTTAACATTGTGTGACTGTTTATTCGCTGGGGTAGAATGAATATGGTTAACGGGGTTATACTTTTATTATATGAGATGGGAAATTGTAAATTGTTGTAAATGATGAGAATGACAACCTACAATACATTTTAGAATTCATTCAGCCGAAGTGACCGTTTGCAGTATTAAAAATCTTCCACCGGAGAATTGCAAGTGCAAATACGATATACGATAAAAGATTTGACAGCCAACACGGTCTGACTTGTTCAATAACGAGGGATGAACAAATAGGATAATGCTTAAGCTTAGAATGGAAGGCAGACTCACTCAAAGCATTGAGCAGACTAGTTCTTCTAAACTTAATTTTCAACTCTCTCTCTCTCTCTCTCTCTCTCTCTCTCGGCAAAACGTTTGATAAATTATGATGGGGCCCTCCCTCTCCCTCTCCCTCTTAATGTTACTGTGAACCGCTTCATATGTCCTTGCTTCTGTTTGGGATCCAATTGATGAAATGGCAGGCCAAGCTGGTTCTATTTGGAACCCAGTAACAGTTGTTGCTTTTAACATTCCAATTCCCTAAATAAAATTTCATTCTATTTATTAAAAAATTGAGGTAACCTCCATTTTTTTTTAATGTTTAATACAATTCTCTGTACGTATACGTCTAATATGCTTAATTATTTGCTAGCCAATAGGAAATATGATAACTTTCCTTGTAATTATGAACCATAATTTTGCATCGCAAGTCAAGAATTGATAGGCCTATTATAATTAGTCGTTGAAGATGTTAACTGACAAAGACCTGGTTCATGATATTTATTCTCATATTCAATATTAAAAGCTACTAACTAGCTAGCTATCCTTATAGTCTCTCTATGTTTGACCCCTCTCCTTGCCCCTAAATCCTATAAAAACTCGATCTGCTTCTGATCATCAGTCTTCTGATAATTAACCTTGGTTTAAGTGGTTAACAGTATCTTAATTACATGCTTCCTTCCCCCCTTTCCTTTCCTTTCCTTTCCTTCATCTTCAGCTCCAACAAATTAGTGAACAAAGAGATCTTCAGCAGTTAGTTTGAAGAAAACTAGCTAGCTAGTAATTAGATATTTAATTAAGCAGAATAATCATGCTTAAATGCTTCTGTTGCGTCCTCCGCAATCCTGAAGATTCAGACAGGTACGCGGTACTCATTCGATCTGTTCAGAATTTTACTCCTCCGTCAGTTATATATACACGCGCCCGCACACACACAATTAGTAATTTTTCTAACTAATTAATTAATCATCTCTTCCTCTAATTTGAAAGGGTTATTACTAGCAGCAACAAGAGGTATTCATATCCATGGCAGATATACAGCCTGAAAGAGCTTCTGGCTGCCACCAACAACTTCCACGATGATAACAAGATCGGCGAGGGAGGCTTTGGCACAGTCTACTACGGCAAAACAAGCAAAGGAGAAGAGGCATGAAATTGAACAACCATCATCGATCTCTATTAATTAATTAATTAATTAATCTCTATTAATTAATTAATTAACTAATCTCATGCGTCATTAATGTCTTTATATTTATTTATTTGTTACGATCGATGACGTGTGTATTTATATACGTACAGATAGCCGTGAAGAGACTGAAGGCGATGACGGCAAAGGCGGAGATGGAGTTCACCGTGGAAGTGGAGGTGCTCGGAAGGGTGAGGCACCAGAATCTCCTCGGACTTCGGGGATTCTATGCAGGTGGAGATGAGAGGCTGATAGTGTATGACTACATGCCCAATCTCAGCCTAGTCAACCATCTCCACGCCAAGCACCCTGCCCGTGTCCCTCTCGATTGGCCTCGTCGCATGGACATCGCCGTTGGATCAGCCCAAGGACTGGCGTATGTATTATTATTTTATTATATATCGACCGCCCCCCGTGCTTAATTACTATTTAGCTGTGCTAGCTAGCGATCATGATAATTAATTAAAGGCCCTGATACGTGTACGCCATTCCTCCTAACTAGTGGTTAATTGGTTGTTGTATACATTGAATTAGTTATCTGCATCACCAGACGACTCCGCACATTATACATCGGGATATCAAGGCAAGCAACGTACTTCTTGACTCTGACTTCAGGCCAAAGGTGGCTGACTTTGGATTTGCAAAGCTGATTCCCGATGGAGTGAGCCACCTCACCACAAAAGTGAAGGGCACGCTGGGCTACCTCGCACCAGAATATGCCATGTGGGGCAAGGTGTCAGAGAGCTGCGACGTGTACAGCTTCGGGATCCTGCTGCTTGAGATGATAAGCGGAAGGAAGCCGATAGAGAAGCTACCGGGCGGGATAAAGAGGGACATAACGCAGTGGGTGACGCCGTGGGTGGAGAGTAGAATGTGGGATAAGATTGTGGATCCCAGGTTGGGAGACAATTACGACCGGTTGCAGGCCAAGAATGTGGTCATGGTGGCTGTGAGGTGCACTGATGGAAATCCAGATATTAGGCCCACCATGAATGAGGTTGTGGAGTTCTTAAACAGCGGAACATTAATGGGGGAGACGACGAGCACCAAAGAACTGATCAGATTAATGACGCTGCACAAAGATATATCCGAGGAGGCTGATGATGCCCCTGAAATTAGCGTCACAGCTTCTAAGTTATACGTGAGGGAAATGAGGAGATAGTCGTCAAGAACAAGATGATAGTGAATATGTTGTGTGTTCAATATATGGTTGATGATTCATATGATTTTATTCGATGACCCGGAAAAAAAAAAAAGGTTGATTCATATGTTCATTAATACATCGGGATACGTTTGTGTACAGTTAGAGAGCTGAGCTTATGGTACCATAATTGTCACATTGAGATACACGTTGGCACATGTTTCGTATAAATGTTCATTCTTTTCAATGGCTTGATGTGCTCGTCTTAATTAGAACTTAATTGATTGGCGGGATCATTTTTCCCCCCTTACTAATTTGTTCCGGACTTGTTCTTGTTAAATATCACTGTCAAAGAAACTATATATGTCATTATAATGTCAGGATCTTAGGAATCATCTGTCTAGATCGATGAAGATGCTAGCTCTTAGTGCGTTTGAGCCCTTCATATCTCACGTACAGGTCACTCCAAAGCACAGATATGCACTAGGTGCAAATATTGTTTTTACCAATCAACTACTCATGTCTGTTGATGTGTGACTAAAACTCGCATATATATCAGTCCTCTTAATATTTGCATCTTAATTTCTTTTACTAGCTTTTTGATCCATACAATTAAGAAGAATGCAACAGGACTACACCAAATTGACATCATGCTACTCGGAGAAGATCAATCAATAATATTATCAGGAAGTCATGGCCGGGGATCTTGGATCACAACTAACATGCAGGTTTCTGGAGTGACAGCAATGACATTAATTTCAAGAATTAATAACAAGTGTCGTCGGCATAGTGTATTCTTGACGAGGTGGCTATATCTAGTCAGGGACTTTGTACAGCTACCCTGGCGCCATATCGATCCTTAATTAATTAAACTAAACGATTATCGAACCTACTTCAGCAGATCCATCAAATTAATATTGGGCCGGCCGGCTATTTATAGTCATTTGGATGTCACTATATCACTACCACTTGATGGAACGTAATTCTTCCTAGTACCTTATTAACTAATCAAGATGGTGTTACTCATGATACATAATAACCTCAGACCTCCCCGACAGTGAAAAGGAAATCTAGAAAAGAACTAACAAGAATACACACACGACGAACCATCATAAATTAAAAAAGGTTATCTTTTGCATGGTTTGGTGGGCTAATCAAATGTAAATCATGTAACACATCATGATAATTAATGTTGATAGTTTTCCAAATATCCATAGCATTTTAGGGGATTTAATTACTCCAGCTATGTTATTTATTAATACTACTAAAAGATAGATTTACCTTTGTGGCTATTGGAATTCAATACCAAATAACATTTTCACGAATATTGTTTCTTTTACACAAATTAATAATATTGCAGGAAGCAAATCTATTATAGTAGTGGTGGTTAATTCCCTAGTTTCCATACTGCAGGAGCTAGCGCTCAATAGGAAAAAGACGAAATCGACATTACATAACAATTGTCAATGCGCTTTTCAGTCGCGATCAGATAAATTAAACATACTACGTACGTGAGAGAGTATACGATATATCAAATTAAAGGTAGCAATAGTGGCTAGCTGCAAGAAGAGAAAGATCAAGCTGCAGGGTGCAGGGTGAAGTACTGTTGTCATGCAAGACGGAGATCATGGGGACCGTATCCCATTCCGTGGAGATTTGGCTGACTTGGTTGAACGCGGAATGCGTACACGTGGGATCCCCCATTTGCCAGAGCAAGTGCACCTTCATAGTTGCTTGGATCTTCATCCACAAAACCGTATACTGGATGCTCATCCTTCATATCCTTCATCCACAAATTCAAATTCATTATAATTTGAAATCAAATACTAATTAACCAACTTCTTAAAATATTCTATTAATTAATCCTTCATAATACACGTACACTGTGGAGAAATTAAACAGGAAGATTATATTCTAATTTTACTCACCAGATCACGCAGCAAACTCCTGTGTGCTTCTTGGGAGTGCTTCAACTACCAACATAAATGGAAGACATAAATAAGATGAAAGAAAAAGTCCTAAATGTAAACTGAAAGCATCATATTTTCATTTTTAACATTATAATTGGCATAGGCATCGTGCATTAATATGAGCGCCTAGCTTCACATATTTGAGCATAGTTTATTAAAAAAAATTAAAAATAAGAAAACCATCATAATTGACATGGATGGTTATCTTCTTCATTATTGTAAGCATTCATTACTTAGAGGGTGTTTGGGACGGCTTATTTTTTGGTCAAACTAGGTTTTAAGCTAGTTTTTTCATTTCTAGCTACCGGTTTGGTAAAATACAATATAAGTTAGCTTACAAGTCACATTTTAAAAAGTTGTTATACCTTAGCTTTTGAAAAACTAACTTATAACCTCACATAAATAAGCTAGCTTTGACCAAACAAATTACTATACTATCCAAGCAATTTTTATAATATTTTTATTATAAAAGCCAAAACCCACTAAAAGCTAGCATAACTTATAAACTTTAAAAAATAAGTCTTCCCAAACACCCTCTTAATGTTGTCGATCCTTTGCTGACAAGACAGTTTTAGTTTTGTTTTCCGACTCTCTATGGAAGAAGAAGTATAGAATTCAGGTCTCATAAGCAGAAATTGTTGCCTTTTTTTTTTTGCTCAGGGGGTCAAGAAAAACAAGTTGTTTAATAACTGCATAGAGAAATGAGCATCAGTGAGATAAATATCATCGATTTTGGTCATAAAAAAGATCATCCGAAAGTTAAGTATTCAATGATAAACAGAAAAAAGATCCAAAAACCTAAACATTGATAACTCTGGGAAGTGTGCTTATTCAAGTGATAATTCACGCGGTTATTTTAGATACAACAATCTTTACTAAAAAATTTATGGATAAAAAACATGTCTTTTGCAGCTCCTAACACATTTAACCCAAATCAATAAGAATAAAATTATCATCATCTACTTTTCACGCTTAACATAGATCTAAGTTTATGTTGAATATACAATATGATGATAAATATCAAGTACAAATCTATATGCGTTTCAAAAAGTCTTTATCTGAAAGATATCTCACATGCTTCTATAATAGTACAACTTGTCTTAGACTATAAACATTAAGAGTTGTAATCTTGATATATATTTTGTGATTTGGGTCGGTCCCAATTTTTTGGTTCTTTTCTGACTTGAACCTACACATGCACGCAGGATTCTTATCTTCTCCTAATTTCTATAATTTACATTAGGTTTACTTTTGCTGGAGAAATCAAGAGCTCTAGTAAAGCTATCTAGTTATCTATGGTAAACTATATGCCACCCTTTCTGCAGTTAACAAGGACACAAATGCAATATTGCTGTTGCATGTGGGATGTTAGCACCTGATGCATCCATGCTCCACATCACCTCAAGACACTGGGTGAAACTATGTTTAATTAGAGAGTTGAGTGTAGTTTATTACTTCATTCAGATTGAATATATACCATTGCCAAGACATCTAAATTTCAAAAAAAAAACAGATCATTTAAATCACTAATTAACAAATATTAATTAGTATAACAAGAAGTTCAAAAATACTGACTGCCATAAATATTTCTACTTACAAACTATTTTACAAAGCAAAGAAGCTAATTAAAATGGGACTTCAAAGCTTAACTCATATCACATATAGGTTGAATATGGTAACAATATAGAAGAGAGCTATACGTTAACCAACCCAAAAAAATGATGGCTGGCTTACTATTGAGCAGACCACCTAAAAAATGAATGGGATCATGTGAAAATAGGCGATCACTTAATAAAGGAAGATTTGAATTATGCAAATTTACCATGAGAAAATGAGCATTCTTTTATCTGAACAAAAGGGAAATTTTATTTGTTTTCAGGAATAAAATTGCTAAAATTGCACCATGAACTACTATAGGAGATAGGTAAGTTAGAATTGCACACATACACACACGCATGCACACAGGTTCTTCTTAAATTTATAAATCTCTCACCACACAGACAAAAACATGCATCTGATAAGAGAAGCTTCACGTTATATATAAGCAGTTAGTTACTAATAAAGGAGAGACTAAACAATTTCCTATTACCATAGATTTATACCAAGGGTCAACTTTAAATCATTATCTTTTTGCATTAGTTATGGACCAACATATTAAGGACATTCAGGATAAAATTCCATGGTGTAGATTATTTGCTGATGATATAATATTAGTTGATGATATAATATTAGTTGATGAAACTAGAAGAGATATTATTGCTAAAGTTGAAAGATGGAAACAAGCTGCTCTTGAGTCTAAACATTTTAGAATTAGTAGAACAAAAAATAGAATATGTGGAATGCATTTTTAGTAAAAGTAGGAAAGAAAGAGAGTCTATGGTACATATTGATGGCTAAGAAATACCTAAAACTAATCATTTTCGTTATTTAGGATCTATCATTAGGCATGATGGTGAGATAGAGGATGATGTTGTGCATCGAATCAAATCGGGATGGTTGAAATGGAGGAGTGTTTCGAGGGTCTTATGTGATTATTAAATACCAATGACACTAAAGAAAAAATTCTATAGGACGGTTATAAGACCAACTATGCTTTATAGGTTAGAATGTTAGGCAATTAAAAAACATGTTCAAAAAATAAGTGTGACAGAACTGAGAATGTTCTGATGATCTTGTGGGTATACATTAAAAGATAGGATAAGAAATGAATGCATCTTTAGTAAATTAGAGGTTGCGCCTATTGATGAGGATAAAATGAGAGAGAATAGATTAAGATGGTTTGATCATGTACAAAGAAGACACATTAATACAACAATTAGGAAAAAGTGATAATATTACAGTTAATAAGGCTAGGAGTTCTAGAGATCGACCTAGAATGACTTGATCAGAAGCAATTAAGAAAAAAATATGATTAAGACTAACATAACAGAGGAAATGACCCACCATAGAATGGAATGAAAAAATAGGATTCATGTAACTGATCCCGAACATTAGGGATAAAGGCTTAGTTGTTGCTGTATTGATGCACTGTTCAATTTAGAAATTACAACTTCATGCAACTCAAATGAAAACTCAGTTTGCAACTGGTTTTTTCAAAATATTATTAGTAAATCATTGCTTATCTATTGCTCTCTTACAGCCTACACTTAGGTTGGGCATGATTTTCAATAAATATGTTGATTCTTGATTTTTTATAAAACTTGGCAATTGAAATTTGAGGGTATCAAGACCATCATTTCAATTTCAAATTTGATCTAATTGGTTATCAAGAAGGATTCTGATAAATCGGCATATTTGAGATTTGGCAATCAGATTAAATCAGTTTATCACTCTTGGTTTAAATTGCAAAGAGGCCAAATCCTGCTTATGAAGTTACAAGGGTCCGTTATAGCAGTTTTACGTTTTTATTATTCTAACTTATCTAAAAAAACCATCAATTTACTAATTAGAAGTGAAAAAGTAGATTTTGGTAAATCTATTACTCTAAGAGAGATCTTGCATTTTTGCCCCTCATTTCTTTTAAAAGCGTGTTTTTCACATAATTGTTTGATTTAAAGATAAAAGAGCATAATTATTCGAATATTTCTTCTACCACAATTACATATTTGTTATTTTGGGTGTTAGTCAATTGGCATATTTTCATGCAAAATGGGATAATTATTAAAGTAGAATAATTTTTCGCTAGTAGGATATTTTAGTGTGATAAATAGGAACAATTTTGTAAAACGGGACATTTTGATAAAATAACTTGGGATAAATTTTTATATTAATCATGAAATATATATTTATGTATTTTGAAGATATAAATACTATTTATGTATTTTAAACTTACTATTATTGATTGATAATTGCTTACAAGAATGTTCTTTACTATTAAATAATTTTTAGTTAGACTATAAGATATTGATAATTATTATTATAATGATGGTCTAATGATGGTGATAATCATAATAGGAAAGAAGTAAAGAAAAAAATAAATATAAAAAAAATAACAAAATAAATATGAGTTCTAGTTTTTTACCACCTAGTTCCAAGCTAAAACTTAGAATAATTTGAGAGATAAAAACTCTCATTTTTGTATAAAAAAAGGGGGAAAGTAGGATAATTTTGTACCATTATCCTAATTCTAGTTTTGTTAGAGTTCTACTTGACTAACATTGTAAAATTTTGTTCTACTTTTAGTTCTATTTGACTAACACCTTAAAAATTTATCCCACACATTATCCCAATTTCAATTTTAAGTTCAAGGTGACTACCCCAGCAATAAAGTTATAAGGTTCAACGTCAAACAATATTCTCTCTCTTTAATTATTTTACTTCTAGTATACCAAACCTCAAAAATCTTCTACTTCACAACTAAAAACTCAAACTCCTATGGTGAACAGCTCAAATTATTTTAGCAATTGAATACTTGAAATAAATTTACTATAATAACTTAAATCTCATTAATTTGCACACTTAGCAGAGCAGATAGATTGCTTAGTTAATTTCTGAAAATTCTGTTATTATTTATTTTCTATCATTGGCAATTAGAGGTACGCGTAGTGGTGGCTTTCAATCTAGCAATGGAAATAACAAACAAATGATATTGGAAGATTTAAAACTTAATGCTAGGTATATCTCAAGGCACCAAGGAAGAAGATTGATCTGCTCTTACCTTTTTCTTGTAGGTATCTGTCTGCGTGCTTATAACATGATACTGCAAACAGAATTAGTTAAACAAATCCCGTTATCAGAAATTAATAACGAACATATGCAATTTACATGTGTAAATAATGGAAATAAAAGAAACCATATTTCTTTAACTTATTATCTTTCTCCTTGTAATTAACCTGTCAACTTTAAGATCTCAATTAATTTTTGTAGAGGTAAAGAATTACAGGATATCCAGAACAACTAGTCCGATGTTATTAGAAGGTTGGCAAAAAAAGGAATTAAAAAAAAGGCTAATACTACAGTGGTTGACACATGATCAGCGTTAAAAGAATTTAAATGATTAAAACTAGTTAGAAATTCAACTACATATCTGAATCGGTGAGTTTCTAGCAGGTATAGAAGCCCACCTTCCGGTGACGAACAAGCTTTATAGCTTCATCCAGATTTTGCTCAAGACCGCGCAGTTCCTCGATGTCCATGCCATCAAGCTCTTCACCCGTTCTCTGCCTATATTCATTTGAGAGAAGCAATCAAAATAATTAGTAAGATAAAATATGATCTTCTTTGTAGAAACTGATTAGTATGTTAAATTCAGGAAACAACAATACAAGTTAGTAACCGTCTGTGTAAGTGCAACGATACATGTAAAACCATTTTTTTTTCAAATTTTACATTGAACGTCTTATACCTGATTTCTTTGCGGAGGTTGTGGTTGATCTCCTTGAGATGCTTCAATGTGTTTTGCATTTTCTACTCCCATACACAAGGAAACAACTCTGATTAAGTACTAACGATACAGAAGACGTAAAGCCCCTAATCGATCGAGAAGAAAACTAATTACTTAAAACCCTAAGCTAGCGTTACTTAAAAAAATAATAGCTAAGGCACAGAGAGAGCGAGAGAAAGAGAGGAGGAGGGGGGCGTTATGAAATAAGACGATTAAAAGAAAAGGGTGGAGGGTGATTATGTATGTATAATTTGCCTCATATTGTGCGCTCCACAAGTTGATCCCGGTAGCTTGCTGATAACGATCAAATATGGCCTTGGTGCTGACATAAAACCAATCATTGAAAGAGTGAGTGGGTTTAGATAATTAAAGAGAAAACATCACAAAGGGTGGTGGCATTAGTAATTTTAGAAATCAAGGGTAATTAAAGAGATGGGTATGTAGAGGGTAGAATAGTGGTAGTAGATAAATAATTAATTAATTAGTGAAAAGATAAAAAAAAAAGAAAAGAAACATACTCAGATCCAGGGCTGCAGTACTCAGAAAACTTGCCGGTGCTAGAGAACATAATAAGGGAAACCTGAGCATCGCAAAGGACAGTGAGTTCCTTGGCCTTCTTCATGATCCCTGACCTCCTCTTTGAATAAGTCACCTGCCTGTTTGTTGGGTTCTCTATCTTCTTTATCTCTATCTTTCCTCTACCCATCTCTCCTTTTCTTTTCGAGATCGCTCTCTCTCTCTCTCTCTCTCTCTCGAGCCCAGAGCCCAGAGCTGTAAATAAATACCTAAGCACACGAGAAGAAAAGAAAGAAAGAAAGAAGAGCAAGCAAGGAGTTGAAGATGAAGAAAGAAGGGGGGCATGGGCTTGATTATATATTATTATCTTATAAATGGGGAAGTGGTGCGAACCCAAAAATAAAAAATAAAAAAAAGAAGCTAGTAGTACGGAGTGGTGGGTGGAGTTTGAGAGAGGGAGGGACAAGAGAAAAAGGTGGCTATAGGCTATCTACATGTGGGGACAGGAGAGAGAAAGAGAAGCCCCGGCCCCCCCCCCAGCTGATAGCTAGGGTTCTTGCTTTGCTAATTATTTCTAAATAGAGAAGAGAGAGGGAGAGGGAGCGAAGGTAGGGGGTTCTATAAATGGGTAGGCTTGCCAAACTCATGAAAGCTTTGTGCGTACGGTTCAACGTGTCATGTTTTCCCACTTTAATTAGAATCCCTCCATTTCTTCCTCTTCCTCCCTTCTCTCCTTCTCTTCTCTTGCCCCTAGCTATTTTTTTTGCTACCACTTATACCAACCTCTAACTGATCACTTGATCAATCTTCACCTTGTTAATTTTATCCATATGGTACCCACATTATTATTACCCTTGAGAGTTGTTTTTGTCTTCCCCTTCATTTAGTTTAGATTCTATTGTTTTTCAAGCTTTTTTATTTTATTTTATTAGAACTTTCTCCTAATTAAGCTTTTTCTTTTTTCAAAGTTTTATTTATTTTGACAAAATTTTCACTTCCAAGCAAAATCAACTCGTTTTAGTTTGATTTTTTGGTTTCAACGCTTACAGCGACATGTTGGAATTAATGTATCCTTACTTACTTTCAAAGATGCAAGCGAGAAGCAAATTAAGGGAAGAGGAGAAAGATGAGCCCACGAGAAAAACAAGGAAAGAAGAAAATTAAAGCCAGCTAAGAGCAAGTCCATCAAGCTCCCAGTTGGGAGTCCTAGTCAGCAAGCTCTCAAGAGCTCTCAAGCATTTTGGTATAAAAAATTATAAAAATAGGCCTTGGGAGCATCTCCTTATTTTATGGAGCTCCAAAAAGCTCCTAGTTAGGAGCTCCAACAATATCAAAAAAACTCCTCTTCTATTTTAATATTTTACCCATTACTTTTAATTATATTTAAACCTCTTGTATTTTATTTCTAACCGTTGGATACGGCCTTCGAGGGAGGGCACACGGTCTTCGAGGCAACGCACACGGTCTTCGAGGTAACTCACGGCCTTCGAGGGAGGGCACACGGTCTTCGAGGCAACGCACACGGTCTTCGAGGTAACTCACGGTCTTCGAGGGAACGCACACGGTCTTCGAGGGAACGTACACGGTCTTCGAGGTAGCTCGCGGTCTTCGAGGTTAGGCACGAACTTCGAGGTATCGCAAACTTTGACCGTCAACCGACTGATTCCTATAAAATTCGATGCCTTCTCACCTCAACCAATCATCTCCCAGAACAAAATGTCTAGCTCATCTAGCTCTAACGATGATGAAATGATGAAGACGTTCTTTCTTATGGGAGCTGCTGTCGTCGAGGAAGAAGAACAAGGAAAAGGTTCAACTTCAGTTCAACACAAAAGACGTATTATGCTCCATCGATACTGACTGGAAGGCCACAATCGGTTATTCCAAGATTATTTTGCTGACACACCAACATATCCTCTTCATTATTTTCGTCGAAGATTCAGAATGTCGCGTTCGTTATTCCTTCGAATCCACGACGCTGTCGTCGAACATGACAAGTACTTCGTCCAAAAGAGGAATGGTGCTGGACAGTTAGGACTATCTAGCCTTCAAAAGATTACTGCAGCTATGCGGATGCTCGCATATGGAGCATCCGCTGACGCCGTTGACGACTACGTTCGGATCGGTAAAAGTACGTCGCTTGAGAGCGTGAAGAGGTTCGTTCGATCGATTATCAACATCTTTGGGGAAGAATACCTTCGTTCACCGACTAATGAAGACGTTGCACGCCTACTCGAGGAGGGTTCACAACGAGGTTTTCCTGGTATGCTTGGGAGCATCGACTGCATGCATTGGGTATGGAAGAACTATCCAACCGCCTGGCAATGTATGTATACTGGGCATTTTCATGAACCTACAATTATTTTGGAGGCCGTAGCTAGCAAAGATCTTTAGATATGGCATGCCTTCTTTGGACTGCCGAGGTCTCACAATGACCTTAATGTGCTACATCGTTCACCGGTTTTTGCACAACTTGCGGAGGGAAGAGCTTCACCGTGCAACTATACTGTTAATGGCCACGAGTACAATATGGGATGCTATCTCGCCGACGGGATTTATCCAGAGTGGTCCACATTAGTGAAGACTATTCCAGCACCGTGAGGAAACAAGCATAAATATTTTGCTCAACAACAAGAGAGCGCAAGAAAAGATGTTGAGTGAGCTTTTGGCGTGTTGTAAGCTCGATTTGCGATTGTTCGTGGACCAGGACGTTTCTGGTAACCTAGTGTGCTGAAAGACATCATGACAGCTTGCATCATAATGCATAACATGATCGTTGAAGATGAACGAGATTGTCAATTGGACAATAACTTCGACTTTAATGATTCGATACCAGTCGTTGAACCTTCTCATGTGCAGACGGTGCCTCTAATTGAGTTCATCCAAAATCATCATCGGATTAGGAACATGCAAACACACAAATCACTAAAGAATGATTTGATCGAGCATCTGTGGTAGCTCAAGGGAACCTTCGACGAGGATTAAGTTTCTTTATGTCTAATGTAATTTCAGCAAAGAAGTTCGAGTTGTTGTACTACGGCAATTTTTTTTTCAATGAAGTAGTTGTTTTCATTAAATGCCAAAATTTTCAACTTCAAGTAGAATCATAAATCTAATACAAGATAATTAGGAAGAACTAATTAGGATGCAATGTGAGTACAATCATAAATCTAATACAAGATAATATATGATAATTAGGAAGAACCCTTAGACATCCACCTCTCCAATATCTCTGCCTGACGCATTTCAAAGTATTGTCGTTGAACTGAATTGAGTGTTGAGAGATCCATCTTCATGATATCGTCATCTTGTTTCTTTTGTTTTAGCTCTATTTTTTGATTTGTGGTTTCCTTCATCCACGCGAAAGCCTCTCCTATGATGGACTTAGCGGACTCATAGTTTTCCACATTTTGTTTCCTCTTGAGCTTTGCCGCTTTCCTCCCTTCAGGCCTTGCTATAACATCTTCCGAGTCAGTGTTCAACTCGATGGGGGTCGCTGGCATGGAATTGTTTGGTGAGGAATCAGAGTATGTGGTTCTTCTCAGCTGTGATCGAATCTTATTGTAAGTTTCCATTTGTTGGATCCACTTTTGATGATGACGCAACTCAACCCAGCAATGGTCAAACACGAATGGATTACCATAAAGAGATTGGTATAATTCTTTTACTTCTGCAGTCTACACAAGAGTTAATTTTAGAATAATCAAACATAATTAAACATATTGAATCTGAGCAAAAATAATCAAACATAATTAAACATAATCAAGGTCAATAATTCCCGTACCAGATCTTTGTCTTCCTTCAATCTGAGCAACGCACCCACAAAATTTGTTGACGGACAATTGAATCGTTGACCAACGATGCATCATTTGGTTTGGTGTGCGGCTCGTTGGATCGGTAGAGTATTGGATAAAGTAGTCGTTAGCTCTGTGCCAAAACTTATCTTTGTGTTGCCCCGTACCTTGGATGGCGTCTTGGCTCGTGTTCAGCCAAGCAGACACAAGAAGCTTATCCTCGTGGACAGTCCAATTTTCGGACCGCGTGTAAGCCTTCTTCTTCTTTGTGGTCGGTGTTTCTTGGGATGTCACTTGTTGTGTTGTCGATTGCGAGAACTCAATGGGGTGACCTTCTTCTACGCCTTCTGTATAGAACGACGGGTATAAGGTCGATCCTTCACCGGTAAGGAGTTGTGAATAAAAGTTTTTTTGGGGGGGATCCATGAGATTTGTAATTTGATAGGAAACTATAGAGTTTTTTTATGAGAGAATTGGGAATTGAGAATTGAGAATTGAGAGTTGTGTGGAAATCTTTGTGGAGTGAATTGAGAATTTATAGATGAGTTTTTACTGTTCATGCCAGTGTTTTCATCTCAACGGATAAAATTTTTTCACTCAACGTTTATTTTTTAACGGTTCAATTCAACTCAACGGCTCACTTCTACTCACCATCAACATCTCACTTCTACTCACCATAAACATCTCAACGGGTCACTGCATGGGTTTTTTAAAGGAGCAAGGGGATTGAGACAAGGTGATCCTTTATCACCATACCTGTTTGTTATTGGGATAGAATATCTGTCCAGGAGATTGAAGAAGCTCAGAACTGATACATTGTTCAAATATCATCCAAAATGTTCTGGAATGGGGATAACACACTTGATCTTTGCAGATGATTTATTGCTATTTTGTAAAGCTGGTATGAACTCAATTTATAAAATGCATGATTGTCTTCAAGGTTTCAGCAGGGTATCTGGGTTGGAGGCTAATCCAAATAAATGTGCAGTCTACTTGGGTGGAATTGAAGATATTATCAAAGAACAGATTTGCTCTCACCTGAATTACTTAGAAGGATCCATGCTAGTCAGGTACTTGGGGTTGCCTTTGATTGCTAAAAAGCTCAGCTATCTAGACTGCACACCATTGTTAAGCAAAATTTCAGATCAGTTTCAAGGATGACAGAACAGAAGAAATCTATCCTATGCTGGAAGAATTCAGCTGATTAAATCTGTTATTATAGGGATACAAAACTACTGGACAAGTAACTATGTGTTACCCATCAAGGTTCTACAAAAGATTGATAGACTATGCTCTGACTTCTTATGGAACTGTAAGGTACATTTAGTCTCTTGGTATGATATTTGCAAAGACAAAAAAATGGGAGGTCTGGGATTATATACTGCAAAGGATTGGAATCAGGCAGCTGCAATCAAGCTGTTATGGATGATTCACATCAAAAAAGATATATTGTGGATTAAATGGGTGCATGATAATTACATACACCAAATGGATATATGGCAGGTTCAATCAAAAGTGACAGATTCTTGGATGTGGAGGCAATTACTCAAAGTTAGA